AGTGCAAAATCCTGGCCGGTGACTCGCGATGTGACGTTGAGAAAAGAGTTGTGATACTGGTTGTTTAGGAAGGCGACGACGCGGTGAGGGTCTCTGTTTGATGGTGATTGGCAATGGCAGCAACGACCCGTTGCGAGGGGTACCGACGACAACAATAAAGTGAATCGCGATCCCATTCTTGCAATTTAGGGTTCCTAACCTTGTTTTTGATTTGGGAATGTGGGTTGTTGTCTCTTCCTTACACGTTTTGGTCTCGTTTTGTTTTTAGCCAAGGTTTGAAATGGGGATTTCGAATTGGGATTGAACATAGGGTTTCTTAAATTGGGAATTTAGAGGTTAGGGCTTTCAAATTTTGGGTTTCTTTCCTGATTTCTCTCTTTGGTTGAGATTCTATTTCTTCTACGTTGATTCAAGGCTTGAATTGGACCTTCTGATCCTCTTTTCTGTTTTGCGATTTGAGAAGGTGAAGTTTTTGATTTTGAATTTGTGTGGGGTTTTGGCTCTTCGTGTTGATTTGAGTTTGGGTTTCATGAGCTCGCATCTTTGAGTGCTTGGTTTCGGTCAGTGTGTGGGTCTGACGATGGTCGTTTCCTAACTCAATTTTTCCCCAATTTCAAACACCCAATTTGTTAATATCCACCTCAACCTCTGATTAAATAACAAATCAGCACGCACACAACTAAATAATGACACGTAAGCACTATTTGATGCTAGATCATCAATCCATTAACGTCGTTTTTTTCTATTTAACGGAAGGGACGACGTTGAAGCAAATTTAATAAGTAAGGACCAATTTTAAACACTTTTAAAATGAGAGACTAAATTGACATTATTCAACAAAACTGGGAACAAAATAGACTATTAAGCCTTTTTAAAATAATATAATGATACATGATATATACATATTGAAAAGTAAGTGTACAATAACTTCTAAAAATATGATAAATATATGATTGCTATTGTGTGAATCTAAATTAAAATCATATATATTAAAATTGTTAATATAAAAAAGTATAAATTATTATCATCATAAAAGTATTACTACTTTATAAATTAGATACTTTATTGATATGAAGTATCTTAAAGTATTAGAAACAAGTACAAACGTGTCAGATATTGTCACCCAAATTGAAGTAGCGATACATCATAGATTGCACGTCATGTTCCTTTTAAGGATGTATTTGAGGGAGATTGTTGAGCAGATTTGGAAGAATTTAAAGATAAAGTTTGTATTATTTATTTTAAGGGATTTGAAGGTGGAAGTAAAAAGATTTGAAAGTAAAGTTTGAGAAAGATTTAATGAATTTGATAGATGAAAATGTTTTAATAGATAAAAATTAAAGAATACAAATTTACCATTATTATTATTATTATTATTATTATTATTATTATTATTATTATTACTATCATTATCATTATTATTATTATTATTATTATTATTATTATTATTAAAAGTAATACAAAATAAAGTTTGATGATTGGTTTTTAAATAAAAAATGAGTAGATGTAATTAATTAAAAGTATAATGTCTTCCACCAAATACATGGTTAAATTGATATAAAATAAATTGTTTATAGTTGAAATTAATTTAAAATAAAATAAAATACACATAATATTATTTTTAAAAGCTTTATATTTTAAAAACAAACAACACATACTCTTCTACCAACTTAACCATTAAGAGTTGCATGAACTACTATATCATTGGAAAACCACCACTTACAACACAAGAAAGGGTAATTGTGTAAAAAGTCACGTAATCACCTCCAAATTCATTCTCTCGTTTGAGGATAACCCAATATCAATATCCACAAATTCATCTTTGTAAATCCATCATAATAAACGGAAATAAACACGTTGTTCACTTGTTCACCCATCTCTTTGAAATAACACATACCTTGAAGTGAACAAACTCTTAGATTGTGTTTGTTTCAATAGATTTGTTGTTGGGAGAGATTATCACATATGAATATACACGAATTCTTCACGTTCAAATTTGAGGATTTGAGAGAAAATGAGAGCGATGATTTGCAGGATCACCTCTATCTTCAATTTTGCTAAGGGGTGAGGATTTATGGTGATTTAGCCGTCATTTTACATTGTTGTCTCTACATGATGTGATTTTGCGATGGTTCTTAAAATGGATGATTCTTGGCATTGGACTTGTGTTGGTAAAGATGAAGAAGAAGAGGGAAGGGGTAAGGAACTCATTGGAATCCAATTCCAGTGAGAGAATATTTATAAATCAATGAGCTCAAGTCTCTCAAAAGACGAAAGAAAGCAATTAATCTCCCAAAAGACGAAAGAGAGCAACTAGCCTCCCAAAAGAAAAAAGGAAGAAACCAGTCTTTTCAAAGATTAAAAGGAGCAAACAATCTCCTAAAATTTATTGGAACACCTACACTCCTAAGGTCTGAAAAAGCGCAATTAGTCTCCTAAAATTCGATAGGAACAACAAGAAAATATTACAGTCTTACAATTCTAGCTTGGCTTGAGTAAGTTGTAACTTGACTAAAGCTCAATGGGAAGCAGACCCTAACCTAACTATAAAATACTACAATCCTACAATTCTAGCTTGACTAAAAAAATACTACAATCCTACTATTCGAGCTAAAATGAGAGCAAACCATAAACTGACATCCTAAAATCCTACTGGAGCAATTAGACTCCTAAGAAATAAAGAATATCTCCTAAAATCTGATGGAAACAATTAGATTCCTAAGGAATAAAACAAGGAGCTGATGGGAGCAATTAGGTGAGGAGAAAAATCTAATGAAAACAATTAAACTCCTAAGGAATAAAGCAAGTCTCCTAAAATTCGATAAGAACAATTAGACTCCTAAGGAATAAAAAAAAGCAAAATTCGATGGGAGCAATTAGACTCCTAATGAATGAAAGGACCAAATGGTGTGCTAAAATCTTATGGGAATAATTACCGATGGACTAAATAAACTCCTAAGAAGTACTTTATAATTTTTTGTGTACAAAATGAGGTGTTTACCTATTGCATTTCTTATGATATGCTATAAACCATTTTGAAATAGAAATCGAGATAACAAGCAACATTACTATAATTTGCATGAGGTAACATTGATGATACATTCAAAGTTTTTTCAAAAAGCAACACAACAAAGGAAATACATGAATTATGTTATGACAAAACAACCAAGAAAAATAGAATTTCGCCAAAAGCTAACCATTTACAATTAACGACGACAATCAAGCTTAAAAGCTGCAAGTATACTTACTCTGGTGAAATGAAGTAGTTGGGTAAGCTCTCTCCTTTTCGTCGTTCAAGAGTTGATACTATTGCTCGCATATATCCTTTTCTAAGTAAATCTCAATCCTTTTTTTCTTAAAGCGAAGTCACTTGAAATTCCTAACTCATAAATGTTCACTGATTAATTTTTTTCCTAAACCCTAATCCCAAATTTCCATATCAGAAAATCCTTATAAGTTACATGTTAGAAAACAAATGTTATGACACCACAAAATTCTCACTCGAGCATGTCCAATAAGTCAACGTTAACTATTTAAAATATGTGAACAAAAATGGATTGGTTAATATTAACCCATTTAAATGAGTTATGAAAACCATATGAGTAATTAATCGTAAACTTTAAATGAGTTATGAATTAAAAATAAGACGTTGAAAAATAATAAATGCAAAAGGAGAGTTCATATATTAGAAAAAAATAATAAAGATAAATAAGTTATTGTTTGACATGTTGTAACTTAAACAACAACAAACATTACTTAACACTAAAAAAATTAACATAAAATTAAAATAATTATATTCATTATTAAAAAGTTAAAAACTTAAAATAAATCAAAATTTAAGAGTAAAATAAATTTTAAATTTTTATCTTACGAACTAAAAATATATTTAATATTGTAATTAACTATATTACTGTATATGCATTCCGATTAAAATCGCAATCTTCAACAATTATTCTCGAAACAATACTTATTGCGATCTTTGTTCATCACATTTTCAAATCTCATGGCTTGGGTTTGGGCACTTTGGGGTTGACATAAAACAAAGGGTATCGGGTTTCAACAATTAATTTAGCCTCTTCAAATAAATTCAGTAACATGACTAACTTTGTTTATTCAGGGGACCTCCAAATAATATTTGACAAGATAGGGTATCGGGTGCAATAATAATTAATCTTAAGCTGCAATAATAATAAATCATAAGAAGATAGTTGTATTTTTCTCTTTAACTATATATTTTCATAATTTTTTAATAGATATTTTTTTCGATAAATAATACATAATCCCTTATATTTTAATAAAATGACATTCACTTCTCTTATTTTATTTAAAAACATCGTGAGTCAAATTAAATTTTACAGAATTAATTTTATTTCTATAAAACAAAAAGTTAAAAAATTGTTTTTTATAAATAAAATAAATGAGGTGTTTATCTCTTTATTAAAAAGATAAAAAGAGTTAAAAAATGAAGAGCCAGGAATATTTATTTACAAATTACACAAAATGTGAATGTCGGTCTAAGATTTTAGGTTTTGGGTTTGGTATAAAAGCAAAGGAAGTTAATGTAATGTTTGCTAATAAATTAAGTAAGATGACTGAACGTCTTTATAGAAAATGTGAATATCATTTATTAAAAACAGTGTCATTAATTATATATCCTTAGAGGCAAGTGTAATTTTTCCAATATTTTATTTATAATATTTATACATAAAAATGGAAATCTATTCCCTCTTACTATATGTTAAAATAATCATAAGAATATATTCTTTATATGTTGTAAAAGAATGTTTAAGTGAACCTATGAGAAAAAGTAGAAAAGAATATGTTGAAGATCCAAAAGGAGGATGAAGATCAATTGAAACCCAAATCAGTTGCAGAAAATGCAACTATCAAAGCATGAACTCAATCAAAAAGGCTAAAAGGAACTGCTATTAGCTATAGTTACAATAGAAGAAGCACCTACTCATGTTTTATTTTCAAACACAGATAAAAGACCAAACACAGATAATAAAACTTTTTATATAATATTGGCTAAACCACTCTAACCCTACATCCTTTGTCTGTCACAGAACCATCAAAAATTTTCATCCTTTGTCCCTTGAGACAGGCGATTCATTTAATCAGAACAGAAATTAAAAAACATCGCACTGTACAAGATATATATATGTATATGTATATATATGTATATATATACATACATATATCGATGAAGACCAACTACAGGTAGAGGAACCGATTGATGAGTTATTTGAAATGGTGCAATGTTCATCTTATCTTCTACCAAGCAGCCTTCAGCACACCTTCACTACCAACATTAACCTGAATAAATTGAACACCAAATTATTCACAAAAACCCCAAGATATTTCACAAACCTAAGAAAAACAATCATAAATGTCACAGCCTAGATAACAAAATCACAGCTTCCACTTACTAGCAAAGACCATGAATTTTTTTCAGGCACCAAATGACAAAAGCCATACATGTAACTCATAAATTCCACATACCCAAATAAAGAAAAAAATAGAGACAGTTTCATATGTATTGTTCACGTTTGATGTTGTTCTCTGATCAAAATTAAGTTTTTCCTTGATGATCTATGTAGATTTTTAATACAAACTTTTATCGAGTAGATTACAGATAGAACTTCAGTTTTAATAGAACACTAAGACATAAAGAAATATATTTAAGTTTAGTCCAATACAGAAACCTCAAAAATTTCGTATACCCAAATAAGAGCCATAAATGGAAGACAAGAAAAGATCATACAGTTCAGGTACCCAAGAAAAGGGCACAATTAGGTGCAAATTGTTAGTGTTATTTTTTTAATCAGTTAGAGTTTCACTTCATTAATTTAAGTTGGTGTTGATTTTTTATGCAAATCTTTGTTCTGTGAATTATCAAGTGAAATTCTAATTTTAATTGAAAAATAACACTCGAACATTTGAAAATTGCATCCGTTTTCCTCAAAAAGAATACCTATTAAATTTAAGATATGTCCACATAACCAGAATCATAAATGTAAGACGCCCCACAAGAAAAGACCATAAAATACACATACCAAATAAGAAAACACTGAAATTTAAATGCAAATTCTTAACTTTTAGTGTTGTGTCTAATCAGAATTAAAATTTCACTTCAGTAAACTAAGTTGATTTTTAACACAAATATTTATGGTGTGTAAATTATCACGCAGAACTCTATTTTAATTTTTTTTTTTTAAAAACAGCACTAAAAACTTAAAGAAATGTATCTAAGCTTTTGTTCACTTGGGAAGTCTCTTAAATTTCACGTGTCCAAATAACAAGAATCATAAATGTAGACACCCCCACAAGAAAAGACAATAAATTCCACCTACCCAAATCAGAAAAGGACATGATTTATATACAAATTCCTAACCTTGCAGTATTATCTTTTATCAGAGAAATTTCACTTCAGATGCCCAAAAACATGAATCATAAATGTAAAAACCCAACAAGGGAAAACCATAAATTGCACATACCAAACTAAGAAAGAAAGACAAAATTCAAATGCAAATTCTTACTCCCAACTTCAGTTCCTAAACTTTAAACTCTTGATCTTTAAAATTATTGCATAATGCTTAAGAAACATTTAGTATCACTCATAAATAGTATATTTAGTCTAAAATACCCTCATTTAATATCTATATATTTAATTATTAGTTCAGGGACAAAATATGAGAGCTACTATACTTATGTAAGGGTTTGAATGGAAAAAAAAATGAGACTTGAAAACTGTAACACACATCATGAGTTTAAGAACGAAGTAACTTTTGGCGTCAAGTCTAATAAATAAGAGTTGAAGTTTCAATTTGTTAATTTTAATGCAAATCTTGTATCATATAGATTATCATGTAGAACTCCAACTTCAATTAAAAAAAAAACAGCCGTAAAAACACAGAAATGCATCTAAGTGTTATTCAATCCGAAAACATCATAAATTTCAGATACCCAAATAACAAGATCATAAATGTAGACACCATACAAGAAAAGACCATAAATTCCACACACCCAAATAAGAGAAAAAGACAACCTAGATGCAAATGTTTAACTTCCAATGTTATACCAATGAAATTTAAATTTCACCTAAACAATCTACCTAGATTTTTAATCCAAATCTTTATGACCCAAATTACGAACTAGAATTGCAATTTCAATAAAAAATCAACACTAACAACACAAAGAAACGCATCCAAGTAGTGACCAACAAGAAAACCCCACAAATTTCAGATCCCCAAAGGAGGAAAAAACCCCAAATCAAACAAAGGTGTTAGAACATTGAAGGATGATAAACCAACCTCAGGGTTACAATCAGGAGGGTCTTCAAAAAGGGAAAGAGATAACTGCTTATCCGCAACACCGACATCAAAGTGTATAAGACCAGAGGTGGGAACATCCACACGAATGCCCTTAACAGGGAACCACAAAAAGAGCTCTTGCGCCGACATACCGGACAATTCCCCGATCCGGCCGAATCCGAGGATACCCTTTATGTTGGAATCGTAGTGCACCTCGTTCTCGAACTTGGCGTTGCAGGGTTCCGGCATCCACACCTCGAATTCCCCACTTGTTCCGTTCAACGAATACTTCGCAATTCCCTTCGGAAGAAGCCCCTCCGGAAGACCCTGCGCCCGAAGCTCGTCGTAAATCGTCGTCGAATTCGAACCCCTCACCGTCGCCACCGTGGACAGCCACCACCAGGCGGCGACCAACGGCAAAATCCAAACCCCGCCAGCTTTAGCCATCGATGATTTGGATTTTTGTGTGAATCTGTGCTCCTTCTTTCTCTGTTCCCTTACCTAATAATAAATCAATCAATGAATTTAATTCTCCTTTCTTTTTCTACAAATCGATCGCTTTCGTCCTTTTTATGAGGAAAAACTGAAAAATACTCCAATAAGTTTGTTCCTTCTTCTCTGCTTTCGGTTTTTATTTTTAAGCAAAATTGCAACAATATTTGTTTCTTTTTTGGTCCGTTTCAAGCACTAAACTTTGAACAAAAAACAATTTTTATTTGTTTCTTTTGTTCCAAGAAGATTGAAATGTTATTTAAATTAATTTTGGAGTTTTTCCAATGCATTTTAAAAAGAGAAAATAAAAAAAATTGTTTTTTAAGTTTCTGTTTTTTCTCTTATTCTTTTTTTTTTGTTTTTTTTTCGCTTACCAGTGACAAAAAATAATAAGTTCGAGCTAAATTAGTCGTATAAACTTTATCCAATTAGATTAATTTTGCGCAAAAAGGGTTTTAATTTCATTTAAAAAAAATTATGTGTTTTCATTTGAATAAGTCAGCTAGTTAATCTAATTACTGTTAGTCAAATTTAATAGTTAGTTACTTTCAGAAACTAATTTTTTTTTTACCCACGTGATGAAACATTTTAAATTTGTAATGTTTTTTTTTTCATTTAAACTACACAAAAGTTAAAGGAAATATAAAAAATATTAAAAATAAAGCAATAAGTAATTGTCTCCGAAAAAAAAACAAATAACAAATAAAAAATTAAAGATAATAAAAATATATACTAAAATATAAATTATGATAAGAAAATAAATAAATAAATAAATTATGTGCTATAAATGTATAACTTTTAAATTTCAACTCCTAAAATAAGCTATCGTATACCCCTTAAACTTTTACATTAATCAAATTAACTTGTAAATGAGTAACTAATTTATTGACTTTATCGGATTCGCTCTTTATGTAGATACTGTTTTACCTTTTTTGTATCAATCCTTTGAACCACCAATTAAATTCGTTTTATCCAGAAAGCTTTTAATTTTTCATAATTCGTCTTTTATTCATTTATTTTCCTAACGAATCATCAACAGAACACTTTCTTTATTAAATAATTTCTCCATAATTTTGTAATTTCTATTCAATTTCTCTAATAGTCTTTTTAAACACCACTAGTTTTACTTTTAATAATTCTATGTAACATCCAAGTATAAACTATATTATAGATCTATTACAAATAATAATATAGTAGATCAGTTATTCATGAGTTGTCAAAGTATTTTAACAATACAGTTATTCAAAATAATTATAAAATTAAAATCTCTAAGAAAATAGATACTACACAAAATATATGAACAAATCGGCCAGTTATACAATACCCTGTATAAATCGAACGGTTTACAAAATGTAAATACTAAATCTGTTGACCAACTGGTCCTAACTAGACTGCAGGTTTAACGTCTTCCAAAGGCTACTCCAACAAACAATCATCACCTTCTGCTCACATTCACAGGATGATCATTGTAATGGAGAAGACGACCGAACGGAAAACATAAGACAAGACAGGAAAAGTAGAGTAAGCTAGAGTAATTTAATTAATCCAATAAAACATATAATTCAAACAAAAATACAAGAGTAAACAAAAGCCAATCATGTCAATCATGCAACAACCAAACATACATTTTCAACAATGACCGAACATATAATATGCAATGACCAATCACTTTTACTCTGATTGTCCCGACTGTATGAATTGTGTAGCTACGACGTTTCTGCACCCGGATGGTGTAGTAGTTGGGATGCCCTCAACAGCTACCACCGGGGTTAGTCCGTTATACCTCGCCCAAGTTACACGTATGGACTAGGATCTGTCATTCTCACACATGAGTTACTCCTCTCTACGTGAAAATGAGTAATCACAGAATATCAGGATAAGCGCCAGCTTAGCAATACCCACATTCATACTCTACAATTCCATAACCATTCCTGAGATATTCCTCCTTGGAATTCTCTTCTACATGACTTAAAACACCATCATCATTATATAATATATAATTCCATTCAACAATCATATCTTTACTCATACAATCGAAAACTCTGTGAACGTTGGAGATCGAACGAAAAGATCAACATAATCTATGCACAAGACCGAACGGGAGAAACCCTCCCTACATAAGAACATGACCGAACGGTCATTTAGAGAGAAACTCAAGCAAGAGTCGAACAATTGAACTTATATCGAGCACTTATGATTTAGAACGAACACTATTGGCTTAGACCGAACGTCATTGGCTTAGGTCGAACAATATTAGCTTAGGTCGAACAGAAATGACTTGGGCCGAATACTATTGACTTGGGCCGAACATTATAAAAATCGAATACAAGTATCGGACTGAGTATTACGAAGAGACAGAGTGCTAGTACAAGACCGAGCACTACCAACAACGAGCACTAATACAACACTGATTGCTAACACTAACATAATTGCTAGTACAAGACCGAGCGCTAACACTAGCATAATTGCTAGTACAAGACCGAGCGCTAACACTAGCATAATTGCTAGTACAAGACTGAGCACTAACACTAGCATAATTGCTAGTACAAGACCGAGCGACACTAGCATAATTGCTAGTACAAGACCGAGCGCTGACAAGAGATCCCTCAACCCACTAAGACCGATCGCTAGATTCAATAGAATACTAGTATCAGACCGATCGGTCATTAACTGAAATCCCACAGAAGCATAACTCAGTTAAGACCGAACACAATATAAACTTAGCACTACTAAGAAACGAACGCTAATACAAAACTGAGTACGGCTAGGAGACCACCCACCCACCTAATATTGAACACATTTTCCCCAATTTCACCATCACCCTTCCTCACAATTCACTCGGCCATTGAACCAAAATTCTACAGAATCCCAAACCTCATGAACATAGCACATAACAATCCACACCAAGATCACCGAACATCAAATAATTCATTTTCACACACATGCAGAATCATCAACATATTCATACATCAAAATCAAGTAATTAAATTAGCTAGCTTCCCTTACCTTTTTAACCGAACATCAACTCAGCTCACAGCAGAATTCGTTTCCCTAAAACCAAAACTTTCTAGAATGCCTATAACCCATCAAGAAGGAATAATCAACCAACAGACCAAAACATGATCAAAATTTGTGAAGATGAAACAGATGAACAAATGCAACCAGAAATTTGACTTACATGTGCCCGAAAACAGATTTCTTAGGAAGAGAATGAACTTATCGGCTCCAAACTTGAATTTGATCAGTGAAGATGGAAGATTTTTACACTTTTATTACTCAACACTATCTGATTGAAAATCAAAAGAAGAAGAAAGTGAGAATTTTGTAGAGAGAAGGAGGAGAATTGTAGAGAGAAGGAGGAGAAAAGGATTTAGGAACGTAGAGAGAAGGAGTGCATGCAGAGGAGAGTGACACGAAATTTTGAAAAGTTCATTTATATACTAACGTCAAAACCGATCGACCACTCAGCTACGCACACCTGTCTTCCACTTTCTAAGTTTCTAAAATCCTTACGCCTACACCTGACTTCCACTTAGTGCTGAATTTAATGGTTCTGACATTCTACACATTGTAAGTTCCTCAAATGATCCCATAGAGGGATCAAGTGGGAAAAAGGTAAGCAATAAATAAATATAATTTAATAAAAAAAACATAAAGACTTACTTAGAAAAAACAAAAATAGAAAACCAAGAAATTTTGAAGTACTACAATCTTCACCAAACCTATTCTATACTAGTTTGCACACATCATCGACTTACCTCACATTTATATAACTTTTATGAGCTTTCAGCCTTTGGTAACCAAACAGAGAAAAGGACATAAAAAGAAGACAGAGAAAACAGAAAACAGCAGAAGGAAAGCAGGAACATCATCCTAAACATTGTGATTCCGAAACAACGTTGGAATTTAGCATTTTTCAATATCTCACATACGTGATTAACACTACTGTTCCCAAACATCATTCCAAAATTGTGATGAAGGTTAGGTTCAGTATTAAAAGTACTACTTTACATCTCAGCAGCCTTGGACCATTTTCTTATGATTGGGAATAACGAGTCTTTTTACCACTTAAGCTGCATAAAATTTTGAAAGAAATCATACCCCAAATAAAATACTTATCAGTAAAACAAAAGCCAAAAAAAGGGTAAACATTCTCTACATAATTGTATTTTATCTTTAAATAAAATTTTCATAAATATTTCTAAAAGAATAAGATAAAATAAATTGAGCTTTTATCATAAGTTGAAAGCTATCATTTAATATATATCAATTTTCAGAAAAGTTATATAAAAGAACTTCTGTAAAAGTTAAATACATAGGTATTGAAATCTTTATAGTTTATAGAAAAAAAATTAGTTCATTTTACGTTCTTATCTTCCTGTCTTAGAAGTAATCATGGAGATATTTATTCAAACAAAAAACACCACCATGGATGAAACATTCCCCACCCTTCCATAAATAAAAAGAAAAGGAAGACAACTTGAGATGAATATCATACACATTAACTTACCTTAAAAGTTGAAACAAAAACAAAAACAAAAATCACTAGAACATAGCAAGCATGTAGAAGAAAAATAAGGAATAAATCCATTGTAAACTAGAATAATTCTCTCAACTGAGTCATTCCAATTTAGAACAAAATCTTCCTACACTTCCTCTATCTTTAGGGGGATTGATGAGCCTCTCACTTCAACTACCAAACTGAAGATTTTCATCTACAATACTCTGAGCTCTATGGTTCAATCACAAATAGGGGCTGCAAGGAAACAAAAGAAATCAAACCTAAATAACACTGAGCACGTAAATTTTAATGGATGAATTATTAATCGTGAGGTTCTAGAATATACTCACAGTGTCAACGCTTACAGGCTTCGCATCTTCTGCAATGATTTCAGCTATGGTTCCTGATTGATCAGCCTGTATAGAACACAACTTTTAAGTAAAAGATACAGGAGAAAAACTACAGGACCATCAAGAGAACAGAAAATTATACAAACCGTACATTTCTCATTGACTTTTGACATGTATCACAATTACAAACCAATAGACAAATCATCAAATTGAATCCTATAGTGACAATTATGTTTAATGAAAAGTTTGTTCTGTGGAAGTGTCTACCATAACACATCCTTCAATATTTCAATGTTTTGGCACTTCAGTGTTGCATCTTGACAAAAAAGAATAAAGAGTAGCTCTTTCGAATTAAAATACTGAATGTAATGTGCCGATTGATTTCACAAGCTGTTTTCTCCGTGAGTATGAATTAGGTTAAATTACTAGTAGGATCTTGTCCTTTTTAATATTCTGCTCAGTTAAACCTCATTGCCACAATTATACATATGTACAAGTGTAAGAACCACTACCAGCAGAAAAACCAGCCACTTGTTGGGAAACTGCAAGGAACTTCAAATATACTCTGATTCTTACTTAGCTAATAAAATATTGAACAACTTATTTGCAGAGAGACATCAACAACGACAGGACCATTGGTCCTAATGGTACAGCAACAGTGTTTGGTTTTGATGATGGGCCAAGTGGCCCAACTATTAGTCTCTATACTACGGGGAAGGTTCTTGTGGGATGTGGAGGAGCTGAGTTGCAGATTGTTAGCATGTATATAGAGGGCAGAGCAAGGTTACTGCAATCAAAAGAAGGAGGTCCATCTCGGTCATTAGCCCTTTTGACTAGGCAGATAAAGCATTTACTATGAGGAGTTTTTATTCTTGGAGACGGAGAAATTATTGTATATGCTCACTGAGCTTGTTTTCAAGTCCTAATTTATAGGATCCTAGAATTGGTTCCACCTGCTAGATCCAAGGGAAGATTGATTCAAAATTTCAAATTATGAATATACTCAAGTGATCAAGAAAAGTATGGAGGATGATAGAAATTGGTTCAAATTAAGCTCATAAAGAATGTACAATTATTGATGATCAGAAAGAATGCACAAATTCCCTGCATTTTTGCGAGGTTTAAGACTCTCACTAGCTGACTAACTCCTCCTCTCAACCCATCTTACTATTCACAGGAAATATGCCTATTTATTTCTTCCAACCATCTCAGCTTAACTGGCTATGAACATTTTGCTTGTCCTCAAGGTTGTTCGGTCTCTGACCGGTGAAATAAAGTCTGTTCTGTGTCCTAGTTGGCTGAAACAAGATATCCAAGATCTGATTACAGTTGATAGAATAGAACTAGTTCAGAATCTGAAAGAAATTGTTTTATTGATGAACCCTAAATCCCAATTGTTGTACCAATGTGTAACAGCAGCCTTGGCTAGGGTAGAAGATACAAATGAATGATTTCCCTTGATATCCGAGTTCTCAACCTCCCCTCTTTATTTATACACAATATGCCTTATTTTTTTTCTACTATCTCAGCCTGCCCAACTAAGCTATTAACTCCTAACTAAATACAGTACCTGTCAGAGATTAGATAACCACAGCATTAGCTCATTTGAATGCTATCTGGGAGAGACGTAAATGTTTTACAATGACACTGAAACGATCAGAGACAAGGATTGGGACAAATAAGCCAGAAAATGGACAGCAATCAAAGGTCATCATTACAGGAATTGAAGGGGAAAACACAACCACTGAGGTCAACAATGAGAAGGACATCATAGATGTGGAAAGTGGTGTTGCATAGAGTTTGATAAAAATGTAGAAATCGTAATCAATTAGCTGTGGAAACGAAGGTATTATGGCCAAAACTGTTTATCAAAGTAAGAACAAACAGGGGCCACTAAAACAACAATAACAGGAATTATGTTGTCAGTGAGGCCACAAGCCGACAAGTGGAGGTACTCTGCTTCTGTCTTTACCAATTGGGAAGATAATGGCACCCTGACATCCAAAGAAAAAGGAGATCCTTGTCTGTCATATAGTGAAGTCTGAAATCACTGAAGCAGAAGTGGAAGGTAAACCGATACATATACATATAGACTAAAAGCTAGGTTATCAAAGAGAGATTCAAAATGTGAGCTACAAGACCCACATTACAAATTGTGAATTGAATCTTATTTCAAATCATAATAATCCATAATTAAAAGAAAAAAATTTATTCACATAATAAAATCTTCTATCCGAACATCTCCCACCAGGTTGACTGCCCCAGATAGTCCACCCATACATTTTTCTACCAGTTATAATACAGTTCAGTCTATAACTTCCGCAGTAAAATTACAGAAAAAGATTTGAAAAATTATATTCATTGACAGGCTTGAAACGAGATAGGGGAAAGGAAAATCCACAATCATGACCAAATCACCATTCTACAACCAAATTTGAACACTTTTTTCAATTTCTATTGGCTCAATTTACTTCATAAAGAGGTGAAAATGAATTGCATATGTGCTGATAATCTTTATTTTTACATTCCGTTTTTTCATCCATTACTAATCATTAATTAAGAATCGATGCAGATTCATTTTGCAAAAAGGGGATCACATTTTTGTGGATTGCACTAATTAATGTTTTATAGTCTGCAAATTACTGTTAATGTAATCCTTACAAAAAGAAAAGGAAAATCAAAATAAAACTATCCCCATTTTGTGGTACAAGTTCTAAACTCTAGAGATCCAAATTAAACATTTTGACAAAGCAAATAGAAGTCATAGGTGCATGACAAATAAGTGATGCAGAATTCACTAATTTAATTAACAGTTGCAAAAGAAAATGCACAACATTAGAACTTACCTCTATTTCATTCATTAATTTCATTGCCTCGATGATGCATATAACTTGCCCCTTCTTGACTTTGTCTCCAACCTAAAGAAGGAACACCTTGCATCAGGGTGCAAAAAAGCATGATATGAAAATATTAAATTATACAATAGATAGAATAGAATTACTTTCACAAAGGGAGGTTCAGCAGGTGCAGGACTTCGGTAGAATGTCCCTGCCATGGGTGATTTAAGAGGTGGAAGCGATGACTTGGTTGACTTAGGAGCAGGGGGAGAAGTTGGTGTAGCAGTTGGACGAGCTAGACTAGTTGTTGGAATAGATGTAGGTGCGGCAAGTGGCGGTGTTGCTGCTGGTGGAAGGGATGAGTACACCACCGCAGGTTGAGGAGCAGGTTGTAGTTCAGGCATAGCCTCCTTTTTCCTGATTGTTAGTTCAATGTCATACTGCTTCATCTTCAACTCCACAATGTCCCTTGAATCAACAAGCCTGCAGCAGAAAATTGGACAATAAGGCGCAGCTGATTACATTGCACCACTTCAAACATGCAGTGAAAAGCTTATATAACAGCTATTACTACTAATAGAAGCAAGCAAGACTGAATTATCTGCTTACTTGACAAGACTCGCAACTTGAGTAATAAACTGAGAAATCGATTCTTGAGTTGCCAAGACTGAAGGTGATTCGGTCGAAGGTTTTGCAGGTGGTTCCTCATTTGATTTGGCTTTGATAGGAGTAGCATTGGAGGAACTGTCAAGTGCAACCTTGATGAAGCAGAAAGATGAGACCAACATTTATGTAACATGAGTAGATTTTAGCAAAATTTACACGTATTTGGAAGAATTTCTCAGAAGTTAAAATAAACCAAGTATCTCTCATATACTTAAATCAATTTATGCATCTGAACTTTTGAAGAAATTAAATTAGAAAACTTCTATACAAAATTAAGTGCACAAGTTGCTTTTATCATTTTACCTCTTCATTCTCTATTCTATAAACATCATCAAGAAGCTTATTTAAACAGCAGTAAATGACAATCCCAATCTTACAATTTTCTAATCAATCATTATAAATACACAATTTTCCATTCCATCTCAGTTACCCTCTTCAACAAATTAACAATTTTCCATCTAAGCTGCCTTCTTCACAAAAATCATATTTTGAGATCAAACACAGATAGACAAATACAGTACATACGAATTCAGTAGAGGAAATATTAATTACCTCATTTAATTGCGCCTTAAACCTTGTGAAGCACACCGAATGACCAGGCTGCAGACAAAATCAGACAGATAAATGAGTAGTCCCGTAACTGAAACAACAAAACAAAATATAAGACGTGGTCGTTTGCACTTTTTGCAACAAGGAAGACACACGATTAGTGTCTGTTTGGAACATTGAAGAAAAAGGCAGAGTATTTTCAATTGTTGAGACCTAAATTAAGTGAGGGGGAGATACAAATAGCAACCTTGGTGGGAGGAAAACGTAGGCTGTTAGGTTTAGGAGAGAGGCGAAAAGAGTGTGTGAGAGGGAAATTGGTGGCGGCTTTGGTCGCAGGTGGCAACGAGGATGCCATGTCTCGTTGGTTGTCTGAAAAGACTGAAAGTGAAACAGCACTGCAGAGAGGTGAGAGAGATGAAAGGAAGAGAAGCAAAAGAGTGATGGGTGGAACAGTGACACAAGGCGCACACCCACTGGCGCTTCTTTAACCTCTCTCACTGTCACTCTCACTCTCTCTCCTTCTTACGTGCCCTATATCCACAACCAGAAACAAACAACACACTGCCTTAAATATGATAATGGTGCTTTTTAATAATATATTCATTTTACTCTTCTTCTTTTTTACTTCTCAAACTTCTTTTGTTGTTTTAATTACTGTAATATGTATTAATTTAGTTTTATAATATTATATGTTTACATTTTTACATTTATTCTTAATTAACACATTATATATATATATATATATATATATATATATATATATAAAGTTTGTTATTTTATGTATGGTTTTCTTTCGGTGGCTACATTTTAGTAACGTGAATAAGTTTTAGTAAAAAAAAATCCTCACGTACTTTAAACTCAAGTATTTTAATAATTTTTATTTTTAATTTAAAATTAAAATAATTATAAACACTCCTATTCTCACTCATATTCTTTAAAAACAAATTTTTGAAGTATTTCTGAAACTTTTGAAGAAATAAATTTCTGAAACACAAGTTTTGGAACATAATTTTCATAGTGTATTTCGAAATTTATTTTAATGAAATTTTTAAGAATAAATTTTTAAAATATAATATAATACTTTCTAGAATGAATTTTTCAAAATAACCTACATAAAAATATTTTACAATACTCTGGAAAGTATTTTTTGTTTTTTTTCCTCCGAAACGTTCTCTTCTCCTCTTCTTCCTCTAGAGGATGAAGGAAGCAAGGTGATGACAATGTCTGCGGTGGTGTAGTGGTGGTGAAGGATATTTAAATTTTGGGTGTTGCTTCTTCCACAACCACCACTTCTCCCTCCACCTTCCAATCTTGTGTAAAAACTTTTTAATTACAAAAATAACCTTTTTTTATTTTAATTCTATTTATTTACTTTAAACTCAAATAATGTCTATCTATCCATTCTCACTTTCCCACCTCCCAACTCTCCTTCTATCTCTCTTTTCAGATTCTCACCCCCCAACTCCACTACATCCGTTCTTCTCATCTCTCATCTCTCATCTCTTATTTCTCTTTTTTATATCCGTTGGGCCAAAAAACTATATCAAGTGGCTCACAAAAAATACATAAAAAGGCTTATATTGATTTTCCAATTATTCTTTGCAATGTTTTGCTCAAAGATGTTACTCCGGTAGAATAAAATTATTCAGTAGCACAATTCAGACAAATAGCCAATACATATACAACTATTGTTTGAGAACCTTCAATCATGTTTTTCACTACCATAACATAAAAACCTAATTGCAAGGACATGAGTATAGATATATGACATTTAAAAAAAAAGTTAATAAAACAACATAGAAATTATGAAGGGCAAGGAATGCTTCGAAGTGAGTGTTTTCTTGTTTGCATTCAGAGAGCAAACAACACAGAGCATAGCCAGAAAGACTGCAAAAACACATCTGCACATTATTATAATAAATAGGGTTAAAAGTAAAAAAATTTATTTTTGTAATTAAAATATTTCTGCACTAAGTTTGGGGAAGTGGAGGGAGAAGTGATGGTGGTGGAGGGACCCTTAAATTTTTTATCTTATGTGTAAGGATCCAATTAGTAATTGTGGAGGTACAGAAAGTAATAGTCGAAAATTGATTTTAATTTGCAGAGTGGGCCAGAGAAGTCCAATGACGCAAATTGAAGTCAATTGAGAGATTAAAAAAAATAAAAATCAGAAAAGGGAAGAGTAGAAGAGAGAGTGGTGGCGGCGATTTTGTCTGAACAATGGCCACTCTTCCGCTCCTCCGCCCAAGCTGCTTTCTTCCCACTCCCACCCTCAAACCCTCACTCCCCAGACACACATCCTTTCTCCCTCTCAAACTAAAAAACGGCGCCGTCGGGGCGCGCTTGTCGAACTCCTCTTCTCCTCCGCCGACGGAGCGACTCATCTCCATCGCCGCCTACACTCTCCCCTTCTTCAACTCCCTCCAGTACGGTCGTTACCTCCTGGCTCAGTACCCTAAGTTCGCCGTCCTCTTCGATCCCATCGTCCCCTTCCTCGCCTTCTACAGATCCATCCCCTACGCTTCCTTCGTCGCCTTCTTCGCCCTCTACCTCGGCGTCGTGCGAAACCCTACCTTCCCCCGCTACGTCAGGTTCAACGCCATGCAAGCCGTCACCCTCGACGTTCTCCTCGTTATTCCTCATCTCATCGCTCGAATCTTCTCCCCTGGTCGCGGCCCTCTCATGATTTGGTCCAGCAACGCAATTTTCGTCTTCAGCATTCTCTGCTTCCTCTACGGCGTCGCTTCGTGTGTCTTGGGACGCACGCCGTATTTGCCCTTTGTCGCCGACGCTGCTTCCAGGCAAATCTGATTTTATTTGGGCTTCTGCATTTTCTTTTCTTTCTGCTTTCTTCCTTGTATTCAATCCCCTGTCGAATCTTTCTGCATTTTTGTATCATATTTCTGCAAACAATTGATTCAATCAACCGACAGATTAGGTAACCTCTGTTTGCTCTTTCGCTAATGAATTGCTCTAAATGCTAATGCCGCTACTTCTGATTATGCTAAACACTATACTGATTCACTGTTTATTCATCATCCCATGTTCAACAGCAATTTGGTTCGTAAACAGTTGAGTTGATTTTAGTTTTGATAGTAAGGTTTGAACCGGATCTGTTGGTCTGTTCAGGTTTTGATTTTGGTGAATGCATTTTCTGATTCTGGACAAGGAATTAACCTAAGGTGTAAATTACGAAAATACGTGTAAATTTTATTATCTAAATTAACCAATGAATTGTGAAAGAAGAAGAAAAACAAAATATCTTTTTTTTTCTAATTTATGGATCATTTATTTTTTAAGTTGAGTAGTTTTTCTTTCTCTTCTAAATTTTAAGAGACATGTTCCTATGAAACTGAAAAGCAGTTTCATTCTGAGATGAACTTAATCCAATATAGTTGAAAACAAAATTATGCACCATCGTTTTCCAGAAAGCTCGTTTCATTTTTCGACAACCGGTAAATCTAACCCATTTATTTGTAAAACAAAACTTTTAACTTTACGCAATTGCTAATGCCCTTCTCGAGACTTTTGCGGTTCCAACTTTTATCCTCCGTAAAAGAAGGCGAAAACTTCATGGAAAAACATTAGTTACACTTTCTTTCGATAATTTAAAACTAATATAGATTGTTAAGTTCGTCCGATTTAAAGTGTCATTTTCAGGCTACTTAGATTGTTTTTTCTTATCCTTTTAAATTAGTTTATTCCTTTATAATTTTAACGTAATTTAATGCGCTTCTTTCCATCACATCAACCTTAAAAGTTCAAATTGTCACTTTTTTTACGTTTAAAACTCCTCATTTATTATTTTATCTTTTACGTATAAACTTTTCGACAGTTTTAAGCCGTCTGACATTACATTTTTTCTTCCCCCACCCCGCCAATCTTCCCACCGAAATTCGATAAAATTTTTGGGCGTTGTCAATTTGAAACAATTGAATGAAAGAACGTAACGAGTGAGATTTGCAAACAGAGAGGCATTGGGTTCAAATCTTTAACACAAGCAAAACGCTAGGAGCGTTCTCGCACTTGCTCCGTATGCTTTAGAGAACATGATCATGACAAAGAGATACCTTCTCTATTATGCTAAGGAATGCTCAACGAAGAGGAATTTGATCATAAGTTTTATCGATTGGCTATGAACATAACATAATGAACAAAAAAGTAAAGAAAAAAATAACTTCTAATCCGGAGTAAATTAACTCCTTACCGCCTCAGAAACAGGAAAACTATAATTGTTTGGTTAAATCAAATTCCCAAGTAACTTAAAACACTAGTACGTGAGCTTTTGTGTAACACGAGGACTGTAAATAGCAATTCGAATCAAACTAGGACTTTTAAGCACAATAGCAAGAACTGCTCCAAAGTAAGGCAAATTACAAATTGAATTAATATCTGCAAAGCAACACAAGACCATATTAGGCTACACCTAAGCTCGAGCTACATCCATCATCGGAGAAACAGTTCAACACAAGAAATTGCAAAATTATTTGTCCAACATGAGGTTCAACACCCACCTAAACTAAACATTTTCTCATATCCATAAGATTCATACCAAATGCTAATATCGATCATGACGCCTGAAAAGAAAACAGAAGGGTTAGGTACAAATAGCAATTAAAATAAAATTATGCTTTTAAATTCATCAGTTATATGCACATGCCATAGATGTGTTAAAAATTAAACTCCTGAATTTTCCTCCTATGCTTTTAAATTCGTCAGTTACACTTCTCTCTACCAAAACTAAAACTAATGGAAGAAAAAGAAAAATAAACTAGCAGAGGAAGTTAGCGACTGTCTTTCAACAGAAATCTACTAAGCCTACTTGACTCTTAGATCAAGGGCCCACTTGTGTCATTCATATGGGATCCAAAGCAGTTGCTTCGTACAGTTAAACAGACAGAATGTTACGTAAAATAAAACAAGTCAAGGAAGCATGTACCTATGTCGATCATAATCTCTAGATCGCTCTCGAGATCTAGAGCGTGACCTCCTACGACTTCTTGATTCATAGGAGCGAGTACGGTCAGAGTCTCTGTCACGGTCTCGCTCATGTCCACGATCTCTATCATAATGCCTGTCACGGTCTCTACTCCTACGATCATGGTCTCGCCCTCGTTCACGACTATCACCACGTTCACGGTCCCTGCTTGACTCCCTGTCTCGATCCCTACTCCGTTCTTTTGACCTATGCCAAATAAATGCATAAGAGTGTTAACTAAATATAAAATTTAATTAAATGCCCATCATTAAGGAATGAAATTTACCTCCTGTCCTCGTGCCGATCAGTCTTTCGGCTTTTGTTCCTTTCTTCCTGAGCCAGAAATTAACAGTCTTATATCATTCCTCTACCCAATTAAAATCAAAGTTCATCCATTATTGAACATTCAAAATCAACAGATACAATAGACGTTCCCAAAAACACAAACCCCCCATCGAACAAAGTTATCCTCACCCTTTCCATTCGTCCTTTCTCCTAGGAATGGTCAAACACTTTGAAATAATGCATTTCGACTTAACAATTGCAGAAAAGAAGAGTCTCTTCAGTATTGAA